CATTCTAGATAAAATATTTGCATGTCAACTATTTCATAATCTTTTCTATGTATGTATATACTTTATTTTTAGGATCTCATGGGGTTTTATTTTAGTATCTTGAAATCAGTGTAATGTATACTGTTTATACGACAAATAAGGAAATTAATCTTATATCGATAGGTCACTGTTGATAGCCTGGCAAACACCCGGTGATGAAGCAAAATTGAAGTGTGTGGTATTCAGAGACAGAAGACTACATACAGTTGAACACTATGCCTGAACTTAACTGCCTAGACTTCATAGTTACCCAGAATAAAAAGATAGGGATATTCTTTCATGCATTAAGTCATATCCAGACTACGTCTAACACTAGAACAAATGCCGCTTTACAGGAAATCACTCAACTTGGTTTTAAACATCTATTCCTTTCTCACCATTATAGTATCTGTAGAATATCCCATTATAATTCCTTCAATATATTCATCGAGAATATGTTTTGTATTGTCTTGAATTAACTTGAATATTTCACTTAAACCTGAGAAGGATATGGAGGAGAAACGGGAATGGTACCACGAAAGGTTGGGCCATCAATGTCCGCGCAGTAAATCTACCTAAGGATTAGTAATTAAAATCGATATTGTGACATCGATGTAAAACTTTTCTCTGTTGATAAACCTACACTCTAGTGTAAAACAAACGTATTAAGGATACAATAGTTCCAGTGTAAAACAAACGTATTAGAGACGTGGACTTTCTCTGTCGATATTCTTATATTAGTTCCAGTGTAAAACAAACGTATTAGGGATACAATAGTTCCAGTGTAAAACAAACGTATTAGAGACGTGGACTTTCTCTGTCGATATACTTATATGAGTTCCAGTGTAAAACAAACGTATTAGGGATACAATAGTTCCAGTGTAAAACAAACGTATTAGAGACGTAGACTTTCTCTGTCGATAAAGTTACAATAGTTCCAATGTAAAAAAAAAACCTATGTAAAACAAACGTATTACGTCAATACAGTTGATAAGGCTTTGCGTTGTTTATAGTTTTTCTGATCTGATATAATTTGTTAACTATTATGAAAAGCTATTTGTAATATTCCTTTTATTGTTATACATATTTGATATAAAACAAAGTGTGTTTATGAAACACTATGCCACCTGTTGCATTAAAACGAAATGGTACATTAAAACTGTACTGTGTAAGGCATGCGTTCATTGCATCATTATTGTTGTAATTTGTTCTCTTTCAAAGTCAAGGTCACATGGTACCACCGGAAAGATCTAGTCACAAGGAACACACACGCCAAATATGATAGACCTACTTCTTGCGGTGTAATGGTTATAGACAAGGTTTAAATTGACAACAAACAGACAGGCAAACTAACAAACAGACAACACAAAAAATATATGCCCCCGATCTTTCGATCCGGGGACTTCAAAAATATGAGCACATAAACCAGAAACAGATATTGATACACACCTACGACTGATTAAGGGATCGACCAGCTGTCACGTGTAAAGGCAGCAGCCTTTGTATTTGTATCGTTATACTCTGTTACATCGTGGTTATCGTGCGATATATAAAGGCCTATGTTCACCAGACACCCACGAGCAAAGCGCTTTTAGAATCAGATACAGAGAAGTATACAATGTCCTAGAGCTTTTCCAGGGTGAAAAATGTCAGAAGGTGATAGAGAGAAATCGAATTTAGTCAAATCAGAAATCAATATTATTTACTGTCTTAAAACGTCGATAAATCAGTGGTGGTTAAGAATGCATGTGGTAACAGACTGCTATCTTTAAAAAGACAGCAACGGGATGAGTTCTAAAAATCACTACAATATATGTTCATGTCACGTCCATTATCTGAATGAACTGCCTCGCGTCGATCGAGTAAAGTCGTCTTGGCAAATCACTCTGGCTGATGTTGTACATTTTATAAATAACACACGCTTTATTTGGTAATTTACATTCTCCGCCTCCAGGAGGACATTTGCAACACCTACTCCTAACAGTAAAACTTAATTGAAATAAGTCTGCGAGTGCTGATTTTCCGGAGACGGTTTCAAATCAATCTATTTCTGCCAATGTTGTGTTCAATATATTAATTTTTCGTGGTTTCTCTGTCTATCTTATTCTCAAAGTATTACGTTTTTTTGTGGTTTCTCTGGCATTCTTATTTTCAAAATATTCAGTTTTTACGGTTTCTCTGTCAATCTTATTTTTAAAGTATTGGTCTGGCAATCTTATTTTCAAATTTTTGAATTTTTGAGGGTTCTCTGCCAATCTTTTATCCAGTGTTATAATTTTGTACACGGATTTTAATCCTTTAACATAGAGAAGCCTTGACCCCTTGGTCATAACAACCTTTACAGTACTTGACGTCATTATGATACTTACTATATATGTACTTGTAAACTCCTCATGTTATTACTTGTTTTGTTTGTTTGTCGATGACTGTCGTGTCAGAAACATCAATATAGACCAAATAATGTGACGACAATCGTCTTTACAGTGTCATGTGTGTATTTACTTTTGTCTATGGGTTCTAAAATCGTTGTGTTGTTTAAGGAGTGTTTGTAATACAATTCTATTTTGATTCGGCGACTTGAGAGAGGTGAATACCACACGTTCTGTAAATAGTTAGGTGTGCTAACTGTCAATATTACACGCTTTGTAAATAGTTAGTTATGCTAGCTGTCAATATTACACGCTTTGTAAATAGTAAGTTATGGTAGCTGTCAATATTACACGTTCTGTAAATAGTTAGGTATGCTAGCTGTCAATATTACACGCTTTGTAAATAGTTAGTTATGCTAGCTGTCAATATTACACGTTCTGTAAATAGTTAGGTGTGCTAACTGTCAATATTACACGCTTTGTAAATAGTTAGTTATGCCAGCTGTCAATGTTACACGCTTTGTAAATAGTTAGGTATGTTAACTGTCAATATTACACGTTCTGTAAATAGTTAGTTATGCTAGCTGTCAATATTACACGTTCTGTAAATAGTTAGGTGTGCTAACTGTCAATATTACACGCTCTGTAAATAGTTAGGTGTGCTAACTGTCAATATTACACGTTCTGTAAATAGTTAGGTGTGCTAACTGTCAATATTACACGTTCTGTAAATAGTTAGGTATGCTAGCTGTCAATATTACACGTTCTGTAAATAGTTAGGTGTGCTAACTGTCAATATTACACGTTCTGTAAATAGTTAGGTGTGCTAACTGTCAATATTATACGTTCTGTAAATAGTTAGTTGTGCTAACTGTCAATATTACACGTTTTGTAAATAGTAAGGTATGCTAGCTGTCAATATTACACGTTCTGTAAATAGTTAGGTATGCTAGCTGTCAATATAACACGTTCTGTAAATAGTAAGGTATGCTAGCTGTCAATATTACACGCTTTGTAAATAATTAGTTATGCTAGCTGTCAATATTACACGCTCTGTAAATAGTTAGCTATGCTAGCTGTCAATATTACACGTTCTGTAAATAGTTAGTTATGCTAGCTGTCAATATTACACGCTCTGTAAATAGTTAGGTATGCTAGATGTCAATATTACACGCTTTGTAAATAGTTAGTTATGCTAGCTGTCAATATTACACGCTCTGTAAATAGTTAGGTATGCTAGCTGTCAATATTACACGTTCTGTAAATAGTTAGGTGTGCTAACTGTCAATATTACACGCTTTGTAAATAGTTAGTTATGCTAGCTGTCAATATTACACGCTTTGTAAATAGTTAGGTGTGCTAACTGTCAATACCACACGTTCTGTAAATAGTTAGGTATGCTAGCTGTCAATATTACACGTTCTGTAAATAGTTAGGTGTGCTAACTGTCAATACCACACGTTCTGTAAATAGTTAGGTGTGCTAACTGTCGATATTACACGCTCTTTAAATAGTTAGGTATGTTAACTGTCAATACCACACGTTCTGTAAATAGTTAGGTGTGCTAACTGTCGATATTACACGCTCTTTAAATAGTTAGGTATGTTAACTGTCAATACCACACGTTCTGTAAATAGTTAGGTGTGCTAACTGTCGATATTACACGCTCTTTAAATAGTTAGGTATGTTAACTGTCAATACCACACGTTCTGTAAATAGTTAGGTGTGCTAGCTGTCAATATTACACGCTCTTTAAATAGTTAGGTATACTAACTGTCAATATTACACGCTTTGTAAATAGTTAGGTGTGCTAGCTGTCAATATTATACGCTCTGTAAATAGTTAGGTATGCTAGCTGTCAATATTACTCAACTTGTTTGTAATTCATTATTGCACCGTAACTCCGCTGAGTTTATGTTTTATTCGAAAGTGGAATTCGCCTGTGTGTCTTTTGTAACAACTGCGGAGGCTTAAAGATTTGTTTTAAATTCAAAGATGGTTTTACATTTTACACCAAGATCTACAATGTCTATATATATTTACATGTTCTTACTTATTGAATTTCTCCCTACATTGACTGTCCCGCCCACGATCCCAGACAGAAACAATTAAACTTAAAATACAAATGTTTAATCAAGTACATCAATGATTTTTCCTTGTCTTATTCATAAGGAAAGGAAAGTTTAAAATGGTCCTATGGTAATACGTCGGTATATTGTTCCACCATTATACGCCGGTATATTGTGATTTGCGCCGACAGTTCACCATTGCTCATGGCTGGCTGCTTCCATATTGATTATTTGGAAAGCTAGCATCTTATTGGCCAAAAGACGTAAAGTCGGACTTTGTAGATGTTCCCTCATTACCTCGCCACAGGTCCTCTGATTTTATTATAGTTGTAAAGAGCTCCAGAGAAAGACAGTCTTACTGATACACTCTGATGGGAGGTCACCAAGTTAGTGCTAACTACCTTTCCCGATCAAAGCACGTCTAATTTAGAAATTGGAAGTAATCAATAGACTAGATCTTGTGGTTAACAATAAAAACCGCTCGGAAACAAAGGCAAACTTAGATACAAGTGTACTAGTGTATCGGACGGACATTGTTAAGAAAATGTTATCCCTCACCACGAAGGAGAACGCGTTCTGGCTGACCATGGCAATCATGCTGTCCGTATGTGTGTCCGAGGCATGGCTGACGAGGTACAGCAACAGAGCAGCCACCAAAAACTGGAAGGACATCCAGCTGGAGGAATTGGTAAGTGTCATTTATAATACATATTAGTACGTATGTTAGTAAGCACGCGATTGTGTCAACAGGTTTTCAATCTATTTTATAGTAGGTGGAAGATGTGTGTTGTTTCCTTGTTCTTTTTCAAACATATAAATAATTAATTTCTGTTGATAAAAGGGTATTTTCACTCTAAAATACTTGAAATAGTCGGAGAAAATTTTCCCGAATTTCATACAGAAGATATTTCAGCGAAATATAAATGAAATACTGTCTAATTTATATTTCAACTTTCACCAATATTACTATTTTGCCAACTGGCTTTAAATGAAAGAAAATAGGTCAAAATTTTAAGAGATGTTAATGATATATAAGAGTTTCAATGACATTTTAGGGAATTAAAACTTGGCGAAAATGAGCATCCTTATGCGAGGACGAAAATATTTGCCATTAACATTGGAAATAGATAAGAGAAACAAAAACGCGTCAGTAATCTTCTCTCCTTGTGATATAACAAACATACAGGTAACGAAGAGGTGTCACAGGTGTACGAGAGAGTAGAAATTTATTTCGGTAAACTTTATAATATTACTTAGGCCTGAAGTGTATTATTTCACAAAGTTGTAATCATCATTGTTGACCCGGATTTACGCTCGCGACTGTCTCGCTTTGAACACAAAGCGCAGAATTTTACAGATATCGAGAATACATGGTCAGTGTCTTAAAAACATAAGCTGTATTTTGGTGAGGGTGAAGAAAGACAAAAGTAGCGAGCCTCTGGCGCGACACTTTTGTCTTTCTGTCTCGAGCCGATTTATTACTTTTAATTGATTTTCATAAATAAACTTGTTTTTTACAACGTATCAAATCGCTAACTTCGACCATTGCTATATTGTTAAACGTAATATTTAAGTAATTCTATCGAATTACCGCGCGTGCTTTTCCGTCACAGCAAAAATATATGTCAGGAGTATTCCGACAATGGCAGTGCCAGTTGCAGGATAAAACAGAATAAAACTGTTGCTAATTAGTAAGTCTTGAATACTATTAGTGTTTATATCTTTTGACCGTGTCTGTCTTCTGGTTTATAATGTACAATTTCCATTTATCGTTATGAATTACATTAAGTACATCGCAGTTCCGAAGAAAATCACCAAGTATACATTTATATTTTATCTATAATTTAAAAACATATATATATTAGGAGCTGATGTTTGTGGTCAACTCCATAAAAGAAATTCCTAAAACAAAGTTCAGACTATTTATATGCCCGTCACTTAATCAGAACAAAAATCCAGATGTCACGGGAAAAATTATTTAAGTTAAGATAATTTGATCTCTGGAACAGATTTAAGAAATTAATTTAATCATCGTTTATCTATATTCAAAAGAGTCCAAATCATGCCACTTATTGTCCCGTCTTTTTAACTGAAAAAAAAATAATATTACCAAAATCATTTTAAATGACCTTTTCGTCCCTCGTTTCGACTCCAAAACGGTGTTTTCATCCATCGTCCTTTGACAAGTAAATTTTACGATTTATCATTGAATCTGTCTCCAAAAGTTTACAATACTACATACGGTTCCATAAACAAGATATCAGGATTTCGGTGACGTTACAATTTGAAGCTCAATGTTATTTTTGTCAATATGCATATCTCTTGTCAGAAACCATTTTATAACATTTAACATTAAAACGATATTTCGTCCGTTGCTTCTTTTCATAAAGTCTTTAGACTAACATAATATTTCGGTCTCACGGGTTTTTGATTCATACACTACTGATACAGGCGAAGTACCTTCCTGCTAGATTTTACAAATTGTCATTACCGGCATTCCCTGGTAGTTAAATCAAAATACTTACCAAACAATCCCGAGCTTATCACTAATTAAGAATCTGAACCAGTCACAAACAAAGGGAATACCGTTTTGTCTATAAAAAGTTAGTCATAGATCAAACCCTTCTTTAAAAAGCTGTCTGTAAACACGAAGAAAGAGTTTTCATACATTTTCTTTAGAATGGAAAAAAATCTGCAACGATCTTTTAATCACTGAAAGGGATCATCGGAGTGATGGTGTTCAGGACACACAGACCATGGTAGTTACTGAACAATGCAGCAATCAATGCAATAGTGCTGTCTGTACATGATGTTCTATGAAACCTTGGGCGAATTCATTACTTATGGTAGGTGTTAGAGGAAGACATGATCCGATAACACATTGAAATTTTGTTTTATATTCATGGGTTTAACCTCATCCCAATAGCAATGATCATTTGAGAATAGGTATCTGACACCAAGATTGGAAAATATAGCACAGAATGGGAGAGCAAGATAAATAAAGGAAGGAAGAAAGAATGGAAGGAAGGTCCGAAGTGCTACAGTTGGAATAGCAGATCTATTCTGGTCACCCCACGGAAGGAAACCCTCGATTCTGCAGTGGACCAATATCATCCGTTTCCGCCGATTATACTTAGAATATATCAGACCTAATATTGCCCACGCGATGTCCCCTTATCAGAAGACATCTCAGAGAAACCACTCTCAATCTGCAGGAGTTATCCCACAATTGGATTCTTGGATGACGTTGTTGTATGGTTAGTTATTGTGAATGTTTTAGTGGCGGCAATCTTATTGTAGCACTTTTTTGCGCAGAACACATTCCGCTAAATTGTGATGGCGCTAATTGTAGCCTTTTTTTAGCCGCAATTATTGTTGATAACCTAATCATCAGAGTTCTAATCTGTTTAAATTTGGTTGTGCGCCAATCGGGAATTAAATCTTAAAAAAAAAACACTTCAGTGATAAAATCTGTCACCACATAGCAAATCACAGAATGATCTCAGCTACAGTCTTGATGTATTTCCATGGTTAAATCATACAGAAAGGACATTTATGTTATATGTTAGCTTGAGCGATCAATGACATTAATTTGATTTTTAAAAAGATGGTCAGGTCATGTTAGGAGAAGTATTTATTATAGTTTTGACTTCACTTTTAAGAGAGGAATTGTAGAGTAACAGAGGAGACAGTTTATCTAACACATACAGTGATAACAAGTGGGTCTACAGTTACAAAACATTACTGGAGAAGAGACTTTGAAGAACGGAGAGGTTTCCAATTACTATCTCGTTACCTTGTTAGTCAGTGGACAGAGAAACGGTGTACAATAAGACAATAAAAGTCTCTGTATACAATAATTTATGGAAAATCCACGATAGCCTTACATCGCATGGAAGCAATGGCTATACAATGTCCTAAGGAGAAACCTGATAGGGTATATCATGCCGCCTACACTGCTACATACTCGATGCTCCAGGGGTAACGCCCACTACATCCTCGATACCCCAGGGGTAACGCCCACTACATCCTCGATACTCCAGGGGTAACGCCCACTACATCCTCGATACCCCAGGGGTAACGTCCACTACATCATCGATACTCCAGGGGTAACGCCCACTACATCCTCGATACTCCAGGGTTAACGCCCACTACATCCTCGATACTCCAGGGGTAACGCTCACTACATCCTCGATACCCTGGAGGTAACGCCAACAACATCCTCGATACCCCGGGGGTAACACCCGCTACCTACTCGATACTCCAGGGGTAACGCCCACTACATCCTCGATACTCCAGGGTTACGATCACTAAATCCGCGATTCTCCGGGGATTACGATCACTACATCCTCGATACTCCAGGTGTAACGCCCACTACATCCTCGATACTCCAGGGATTACGATCACTACATCCTCGATACTCTAGGGGTAACGCCTACTACATCCTCGATACTCCAGGGGTAACGCCCACTACATCCTCGATACTCTAGGGATAACGACCACCACATCCTCGATACTCCAGGCATAACGACCACCTTATCCTCAATCCTCCAGGGGTAACGCCCACTACATCCTCGATACTCCAGGTCACCACATCGATGTACTTGTACATCAACCGAATCTCAATGTTGCACAACGGTATATTGCAGTGACTTTGAAATTGGATCGCACTTTTGTAATCCTCAAAAGGAGCGTATTAGCCATAAATTGATCAGGCGTTTCTCTCCTTGACCCAACTACATTATTTCGCGTGTGCCTTTAGATTTGCCATGACATGTACAGGACTCCTAGAATACCTGTTAGTAGCTTAGAAGACAGAGCTGTTACATAATGACCACTGTGTTCTACAACAGACATTGTGATTGACCAACACAACATGTTGTGTGTCGAGGAAGGTCAGATGAACATCCGCCATTTTCTACTTTGCCTGGACTGATGAGATCCATATACAAAGAGTCAATTACGAAATTACCAAATAAAGGCAGAGTATCCAGTCCTATTGGGCGAGGATTTAGACATGTGGTACATGGCCTCAATAGTAAGTCAGCACCTGAGAGTAAGTCCGTACATGATAGTTAGACAGTACATGATAGAAAGTAAACACATGATAGTAAGTCAGCGCCAGAGAGTTAGCCATCAGCTGAAGGATAGTTAGTCAGCACTTGATAGAAATCCTCTGCAGCCCTCTGTGGTAATAGTACAATATTTGGTAGACCAGCCTTCTGTGGTGCTAGTCCAATATTTGGTAGACCAGCCCACTGTGGTAATAGTACAATATTTGGTAGACCAGCCCTCTGTGGTAATAGTACAATATTTGGTAGACCAGCCCTCTGTGGTAATAGTACAATATTTGGTAGACCAGCCCTCTGTAGTGATAGTCTATTTGGTAGACCAGCCCTCTGTGGTAATAGTCCAATATTTGGTAGACCAGCCCTCTGTGGTAATAGTCCAATATTTGGTAGACCAGCCCTCTGTGGTAATAGTACAATATTTGGTAGACCAGCCCTCTGTGGTGATAGTCCAATATTTGGTAGACCAGCCCTCTGTGGTGATAGTCCAATATTTGGTAGACCAGCCCTCAGTGGTAGACCAGCCCTCAGTGGTAATAGTCCAATATTTGGTAGACCAGCCCTCTGTGGTGATAGTCCAATATTTGGTAGACCAGCCCTCTGTGGTGATAGTCCAATA